CATCTTTAATATATCTGCAGACAGAGAGCAAAAATCCACTGCATTTAAAAATCATTCTGCTCTGACAAACTCAGAGTTGCATAGTTGCTTAAATCACCTTTCTGCTAACAGAGGCAGAGACTCGATCTGCTAACCAAACAGAGGAAACAGACGGAACAGTTCAACCTTACACGCTCATTCACTATCATATCTACAGGATGTGAAAACTAACACTCTATCTCCATGCAGGGAAAAACAGCAAGTTCCCAGATAATCCATCTGGGAATCTTGTTCAATTAGTTTGTACACCTTCTGCAGCTGCATGAAAAAAACATCTTGACTATGATACTGTATGATGCAAATAAAAGATTTTCTCTTTAAAGAAAAATCTACTTCACACTATGCACCAAAAATTTAGAACTAACTTCCAGAAAACTGTAAAACAGCAGAAATCCTGACTTCTTTTAAATCTCAACTAAAAACCAACTATTTAGAATTGGATTTGAAACATAATATGTATCAATGTATTGTTTATTCTATGTTGCATGACTTTGTGTTTTTGTGTTTATGATGTAAAGCACTTTGAAATGCATTGCTGCTGAAATATGCTATAAAAATAAAATTTGATTGATTGATTCAGTATGTTAAAATTGGTGTATAAGCTAAAATTAGCTTAAATGCTAATGTTAGCGTGAATATTGTCAGTAAAGTGGGGCATCACTTGCATGTTGTCTGTGACTGTGTTACTCCATTCAGTATACTAACCATGGGTAATAAGAGAAATAGCTAATACTTCATTTCAGGAAAAAGGCTAATGCTAAAGCATTAACAAAAGGCTAATTCCTTTTCATCAGCCTTTTGCACAAAGCAGAGACCTAAAATGAGGGAAAAACATCATGCAGGCTAATCTTATTGCACTGCCTATGGCAGTGCACTAGTGGGGGACAGTGAAATGCAAATGCTGATGCACTGTCTTTTGGCCCAAGACAGTGCCCTAACCTTATAGAAAAAGATAATGCTATCTAATTTTATTGCACCGCCATAGCCAGAGAGGAATATTAAGGCTTTTATTTTGAAATTTTCAGTAAACAGTGATTGGGTAAAATCAGTTATATAATGCCCAAAAGAGCAGTTACCTGATGTAAAAATTGTCAAGGCTTTTATTTTGAAATTTTCATTCATCTTCTTTTTATATAGCCACATTAATCCCATATGTAATAATGGTTGGTTAAAATCAGTTATAAATAGACCAAACACAATGTAATTCTAAAGGCCAGCTCATTCCTCCTCAGTCGTAACTGACAGTTCCGCCATGTTGTTCTGACAATCAACTCTCACCTCTTTTGTTAGTACTGATTGTCCGCCATGTTGTAACTCTAACCTTCAGTCATTTTAGTTGTAATGAGCAACTCAGCTGTCATGTGTGTGAGACAGAGAGGTGGAGAAAGAATTCCATCTTTCTGAGACACCCAGTCAGTTTTTAAGAAAACAGCAGGCCGAAGAACTCCTTCCGTTCAGGATCTGTGAAAGTATTTGAAAACTATTTAAAGCATATGAGAGCTCACAGTAATAGTGAGTGCAGCTCACTCACAGTAATCGCAGTAGCTCACTCACAGTAATCGCAGTGATGAGAGGAAAATGGTGTGCGCTGAGCTCAAATTTTTCAGAAAAGTAAGAAAATGAATGGCTGAGAGCATCAGTTACCCTGGCACATGATTTCGCTCTGAAGCACCTTGACTGAAAACCAAAAGCCTTGGAGACATTTTGAAAACATTTTACCGGAGCATGCATGAGTGTCAATGTCATGACTAATTTTGATACCGATAGGGCAATATATGTGGGCATGATGGCGATTTAAAAATTGTTTGGGCTCAAAAATCCACTTCAATTCTCCCTCTAATGGAGCTGCAGTTGGTGTCAGTTACAGTCTGAATTTCGGCAGATGGAAATTTTGCTTCTTTTTCGCTTTTTACTTTGCCATCATAACTCCAAATCCCACTACAAGTAATAGCTCCAATGCCAGGATCGAGCTGCATGTTTTGATACCACTTTTGTGGGGATTCACACAGCGGCACAAGCCGCATTAACAGTGAATGGGATACCTGATTTCTTGAACATTTGATTACTTCATGAAAGGACCCAAGCCTTCCCATATTCGGTCAACTCCCTGTTCACTTCTGCTTTGTGTTTATCTTCAACTGTGTGTGAGACAGAGAGGTAGAGAAATAATATATGTGGGCTCACATAACCCTAACCCCAACCTTATTTGGTTGAAGGAAGTTCAACCAAATAAGGAAGGTTGAACTTCCTTATTTGGAAGACAGACTAAGATATGCCCAGCCATGCCTCTGTGCTCACAAACTCCCCCTATACTCACAACTGTATGATTATATTCAGTTTCATTCCTTTATATAAGATTACCATAATCATAAAACACAATCTTCTTTTAATAAATTTCTTCCACCATAACTTATTTTAATAATTATTAGATTTTAATACTATTATCAATTAATAATTTATAATTTTTCATAATATTGTTCAAGTTTTAATTTCATCAAGACTATGTAATCATCAATAAATCTCAATCAGAAATTACTTACTTTATAATTATCAGTACATTAAAACACAAAAATTTATATCTTTTAATCATCATTAAATAAACTTGCAAGATTACTTCAGTCTCTCAAGCCTTTATGATTTTTCTGCGTGAACCTGAAAATATCTCACCAAGTTACTTTTCCCATCATAAATATGTGCAAATACTTCCAGATTAGTACCACAAGCGCTCTGATTTTAATTGTTAGAAAAATCATAAATAGAATCCTGAAGGGACTGAAAATATGTTCAATAATAATATTTAATTTCAAGAATTCATTGATATTTTAACAGGTTGCTAACATCCCTGAATTATACCATAACTATACTGTACTCACCAATTTGGGAACAGAACACCTCAGACACCAGCCCTCTCAATTTACCCATGTTCAATTACACAAATAAAAGTTTCTATGTACCTTTTGTTTCTGTTGGTCGCCCAAGAGTGCAACATCTGGTATCTTCGGCTCAGGTTTTCAAATTACTAACCTTGACACATACTCGATGGGGCCTCCATTTGTGGAGAATGATTCTTTCTCCTTGCTAAATTCTTGATGTATGAGGTTGAAGAAGAGTTGGTAAGTTGAATTTGTGAGTTCCATTTATTAATACCAAACTCCAGCTGGTCCATTTCTCATGCTACCTTTATGAGCTAGCAGAATAAAATGGCATCAAGCAACAGTTTGTAATTCCTTCTGTTAGCCTTGGTCTAAGCTTTGTCCTTAAGTGGGCATTCCCCAGTGGGTCATTTTCTTTAACCTTAGCTTTGAGGGTGTTTCACAACATATAATTTCCTTTACCTTTAGCTTTGCAACTAGCTAAAAGACATAGAGGAAAACACAGAATTATTTATTTTCAACAACACAGAGCCTGTTGATTAGTTTGCACACTACTGCCATCTAGTGACCAGAGGCATGTTTATCAGTTAAGCATGAAGAAAAACTATAAACTCTTGCTTCTCACACCTCCCCTGACACCTCACCATTTCCCCTTAGGGGTGCATGCCTCATTATTTGTGAAGTACTAATCTAATGAGCATTTTCTCTAGATGAGTTTCTCTGATTGTAACTTTGTTCTAATTCTAAGACAGACAGACAGGGCAAGGAAAAGAGGAAAAGTCACATCAGGGAAGTATGCCCATGTAGCAACATTCAGATGATACAAAGACATGACATCATGGAGTGCATCTGTTTGCCATTTGTGTATTGCATTTGCATGAACATGAGCCATGCTGCTCAGAACCATGCCAAGCAACAGTGTCTGATGTGATGGAGTTATCTAAGAGCAGGTCCTTGGGAGTGCTCTGCTCCAATGTGACATGGATGATTTCAGAAGGGAATGAGGTGAGGAGGTAGGAAGAAGTGTCTTTGTTTACATATTTTTGAGTAGATTTGAGATAGCTAGTCCAGGGCCAACACAGGGAAGCTAGTACAGATACAGAATGCTTTAGGTCAGGTAGACTTTAAAGTCTTACCAAAATGTCTCTGTTCTTTCCAATCATCCAAGTTAGTGTGGCCATTCCACCAGATGTAAACTAGCAGCATCTCCAAGATCGATTCCATCCTGGTAGTGAGCATTAGAGTCCTCAGCTGGACTGCGTGTCTCAGTAAGAATCACATCCAGCTTGCTTCTCTGTCCCACAGCATGTCAGTTTGAGTGTTCGCTAGTAAGCCCAATCTATTATACATTTTTTGATGTACCAGGTATCTGCAAGCTCCAAACAGCAGAAATTCTGTTATAAATCGAAATAAATGGAGGTGTGACCTTTGAAGACATTATTCTTCCTTAAGTCCTTCTCTTGCATATCCCGTCATCATGAAAAAGACCCTTCATTCAAATCTTGAAAGGCTGTCCATTGCCTCGTCTGGTTTTGTGGTGATGACAGTTTTTTGGATTTACCATTTGGGAATTTTGTCCCCAAAAAAGGACAAGGGTTTGGTTGGTTTGACACAGTGCAGTGTTAAAGTGAAATGTTAGTGAAAAATTTAGCAAATTTTAATTTTGGCCTCCAATCAATCTGAGTCCACTGGGCTATTAGGTTGGAAAACAGCCTTACTGCAACTAATTTCTTGCTTGCCAGTTTCTGACAGGAAGACTTTTTTGTCTTCAGGAGGCCATAATAGCATTTGCAAAAATCCAATGCAAATCCAATGTTTTTTTGTTTTTGTTTTTTTGGTTTTCAACTTGTAATCAGCTGATAAACAGCCTGTTTGACTTTAATTATTTTTGTCTCTTACATTTTGAAGCTTTATCTAAACCTAGCTTTTATCCAACAAGAGAGATCTTCACTGCATCCAGTTTTTTCTCCAGTAGTAGACCACTGCAAATCTAGATTCATGATTCCAGTAGTTCCACACGTGTTGAAGTAATGTTTTTGTAATGATTAATTTCAAATATTGTAAAGCCTTTTCCTTTGTGATCAACAGGAAACATGTTATATACTGCTGCTTCCATAGACTTCCTAGGATTTAAAGAGATTTTCCAAAGACATGGGCAGAATCCCATAAAGACTGAAGAGAAACAGTCTTGGCTGTATGGTGAGGTGGCCACCTGACCCAGTTAAAGTGTCTTTCACATTAAAATCACCCTGCAAAACTTAAAACCATGTTTGAAATGATCTGAACTCAGACCCCAAGATGATTTCCATACACTTGGCTGAAATGAAGAAAATTTCAGAGAACAATGAGGACGACAACGTGTTCTTGTTCTTCACTGAGAAGGCTGTTGAAGAACGGCACATGCTGCGACTGTCGAGAGTTGCACGAGTGTGTAAAGTACGTCTCTAAATATTTAGCTTCTGTTAAAACAACACATGAATGAGTATTAAAGTCTGAGATTTGTGTGTATTCAGAGTGACTTAGGAGGACTGAGAACTTTGCAAAGAAAGTGGACTTCTTTCCTGAAAGCGCATCTGGACTGCCCGTTTGGAGACAAAGGTTCACAGTCTCTGGTGAAGGACATCTTTCTTCAACGAGATGAAAGCAACTTGATGGACAATGTCTTCTACGCAATATTCACCTCAAACTTGTAAGTCATGTCTCTTCAAGTTTCAATGTTTATAGATTTTAGATTTTAACCTCTTAATCTCCCAATTGTACTGTGTTTAAAATAAATGAACTTCTGTGATTCAGCTGCCATGATGTTATGGCAGATTCCTGTTTTTAGGGTTCCTTTCATCTGTGTTAAGTTAGGAGCATTTTCACAGGGTATTTCAAATGTTGCCATCATACATCCTAATAAAGTTCTAGTTTCATTGATGAAAAAATTCCTTTGGGTTTACAAGATTTTTATTAACGATCATATGTTCAGAAATACACTGTATACTTATTTAACACATAAGTTGTGTAAGATATGAGGCCTCTGGCAGGGGTCAGGGTGAACTCAGGGTAGTTTCTGTATAATTGAGTAGCATAGACCCCACTATTTCTGATGTGATAGTCTCCCTGGTGTCTAGTGTTAATGGTGTTTCTGAGCTGGTATATGGTAAATGGACTGAACTTATATAGCGCTTTTCCAGTCATTTTGACCACTCAAAGCGCTTTACACTAGAGTCACATTCACACACACATTCATACACCGATACGCAGACCGGTAGACTGGTAGTGACAGGACCTCATTTGCAGGAAGCTGTCCAGTTCCTGCAGTCAGTCTGCTGTCTGCACCTACAAGCTGTCAGATATCCAGCAAGTTTTCAGAGGGAACTTTCTGACCTTGAGTGATTCTGGCTGCTGGGTGACGTACAAAAAAGCAGTGCCTAAGCCCTACCCTGGTTCAGTAAGCACCAAATAAATGTTAAATAAAAGCAATGAAAATTGCCAGTCTCACATGATTTCTGATCTGTATTATCAGTGTATTAATGATGAAATGCGAAACAAAAGTGTGAGGACCTCTCATGACATCCCAGACTCAACCCTGATGTTTGTGAAGGACCACCCTCTGATGGAGCAAGTTGTGAAACCAATCACTGGGAGGCCTCTGCTGGTCCGGTCTGCGACCCAGTTTTCAAGAATTGTTGTTGACAAAGTAACATCTCTGGATGGACAGCAGCACAACATCATGTTTATTAGCAACAGTAAGTAACTGGATCATATATCATGACTTAACACATGTTGTGCTGTCAAACTGGACAATGGCTGTGTTGACCAATAAACAGGCAAAAGCTGCACACAGGTTCACTGTGAATGTAAGAGAAATCTCTGGAGTGCAATTTATAACATTACACAGTAAAAAAAAACTTAGCAGCAATTCTTGCTCTGAATACCAAGGAAACCAAAGGCATCATTATTGACTTCAGGAAGCATAGCACCTTCCCAGCCCCTCTTTACATTAACAGCAAGAATATGGAAAGTGTCCACACCATCAACCTTCTTGATGTCCTCGCCTCCGCTGTCATCTCCTGGACTGAAAACATTACAGTAGTAATCAAGAACACCAAGCAGTGGCTATGCTTCCTGAAGGTCTTGAGGAAGCTGCTTCTGACTTTATATTGATCATTCATTGACAGCCAGGCGACACACTGCATCACACTTAAGATATGCAAACTGCATTGTTGGAGACAAGGTGAGAAAATAGAGCAGGGTTGGGCAACTCCAGCCTTCGAGGGCCAGTCTACTCTAACTTTAAGATGTGTCTCTATTTCAACACACCTGAGTCAAATAATGAGGTCATTAGCAGGACTCTGGAGATCTTGGCTGGACTTAGGAGGTGATTCAGCTATTGGATTCAAGTGTGTTGGACCCTGCTATAGAGGGTTGTATAGGCAGCTCATAGACTTGTTGGCTGCCCTCTTCTCTTTCTGATGGAGGTTTACGTCTCCTGCTGTAGAGCAATGGATCTACTGAGGGAATTAAACCTCAAAATTAAATTAAATTTAATTTTAAAACTCAATATTTAGTTAAACTTGTTCTGTCCTTCAGACTCTGGTTGGCTGCAGAAGGCGGTGTGGTCTGGTGATGATGGAGGGCGAATCATTGAGGAGTTGCAGCTGTTTCAGGATCCTCAGCCCATTCGCTTCCTTCAGCTCTCCTCTAGAAGTGTAGGTTACAGCTACATGTCTGTAGACTAAATGGACCTGGAGCTAACCTTTGAACTCTGATGATCTGCAGGGTCAGCTGTACAGTGCAACTAGAACTGCTGTTGCTCAGCTCAGTGTGAGGGACTGCAGCCGCTACACATCCTGTGCCGACTGCCTTACTGCCAGAGATCCATACTGGCTGGGATCGTCTCAGAGGCCTGTGTGCTGCTGTTGCTGGTGCTTCAAAACCTCTCCATGTATGTCACACTAACTAAGACATGTTCACTGTGTGCTACATTTATAATCAGAGGATTGAATTCATTTGTTGCAGGATCCAGAACCTCACTGATGGTGATGTTGGAATCTGCCCAAACTCTCATTGCAAGTATTCCCCACATAAAGCTCTTACACACCTTTACCTTAGTGAGGAGAGTAGTAGGAGAATTTTTATGGCTGCTTTGGCTTCTCCCACAGTGTCAAAGAAGATTATCGACATCCACCTCACAGTTGACGTGGCACAGTTCCTCCCCTGCTCCCTGACACCAATCTCCCCATCAGCTGGAGCTTCTCTGGTAACATCCTTGAGCCCGGTCCCCGACACATTCTGCTCAGCCAGGGACTTGTTTAACACCTTCCTTCACTGATGAAGGCCTTTACACCTGTGAGACAGTGGAAGTAGTTAAAGGCAGAGAGCACAGGATGGCGGTGATCTTGTACAACATTAAGGTTTCAGAGGGTGGGGGAAACTGGATTCAGGCGACAGTTATCTCTGTTTTAACTGTTTTTTGTGTGCTGTGTCTAATGGCAAAGATATACACCTGGTGGAAAAAGAATTCTCAAAACAAGACTGGGAGTATTAAGATTGCGAGTGACAGTGGTACTGGGGAATCCCGAGCAGCCAAAGTGGAAGAGAGGGATGCCAAAACACTAAATTTGATAACAGAACAAGCCACTTCTGTTTGAGTTTTTACAGTACTGTAGACAACCCAATGCAAAATAGATGACTAAAATGATTATAGTGTGGCTATCCATAAATGGATTATACAGACTCTAAAAGCCAATTTGTTAAAATAACAATGAGCACTAATTAAGAACAAACTACAAAACTATATTTTGTTTTTAAAATAAAAAAAAAACATGGTCTGCAATCTGTTCTAGATACAACTCCTCTGGTGGCAGTTTTAGCTTCATCTGGTTCAATTTCTGTAAAAAATAAATAATAAATAAAACCAAATAAAGCATGATGACCTTTTAGGTATTTTTCATGGCTGCAGATGCACCATTTGCTGCAAATGATCGAGCATTCACTGTGGAAATGATGTCAATTTATCTTACGTTTTAAGATGCTAGTATGCTAATAATTCCATAAAAAAACAAAGACTTAAGCCCAGTTCACACTACATGATTTTCGTGCCCAATTTTGCCCTTACGACAATCTTAGAACATTCTGAGTTCTAAGATTGTCGCTTCCCACAATCGAAACTGATCGTCCTGTAGTGTGTGGTGTGTTCTGCTGGGGTCCAGTCGGTGGAACGTCGGGACCGCTTTGATATAAAATGGGGATAATGAACGTGTTTAATCATCTTGGCTCATTCATCGCAATGTCTGTGGTGTTCCCCCAAAATGTTGTTTTGTTTTTTTTTTTTTAAATGAGAGATAATTATAAAATTAATGGACAGAGTACATCTGGTTGAGAAACACATTCCAATCTTTGGTTGAAATGGCGCATGTGATTTTATTCTGCAGTCGTAATACAATTTTAAACAATATAATAAGTTTCAATTAAAGGAGCTGGAATACAGTAAGCTTTCAGTCAGTTGGGAGGAAAAAAAGATAACTGCCATCTGATTTTCTAAAAATGAATATGCAGGAAATGTTTTATTCTACTTTAAGCTGCTCTGATGTTTCAGTCATTCTGTTATATGCATATATTCTACAACAACATAAACTGCTAAAAATTATACGAAAACGATTAATTAAACGACAAAACCAAAAACATTAAAAACAGTATTTTTTATGAAAAAAAGAAAACAAACCTCACCTCCATGTTGCGATGCAACAAATATAATCCTTGCTCGCGATATCTCCAGTTCTTAATCCAAAGCTTTGATTTTTGGTTACGTCTTTTTTGGGTTAAAATAAGTCCGCAAGCTAAAGTTTCCACTGCTACGTCGTTGTCCATGTTTGTTTGTAAATGGAATTGGAATGCCTTTGAGTGAAACCTCACACTCTACGATTGAATCTGTTACACCTACGATTTTAAATCGGCTAATGTGTGGTCTCATGTTTTCAGAATTTGACGACTTTTCAAAACTTGTGTGAACTGGGCTTTAGTATTAGAAGATATTATATGTGCATTATATGTGCATGTGTGAATGTATATATAAATTGATTGATTTAATAGTGTAATAATCAATATATTTATGTCTGTATTGTAAATATTTCCTACATTGTTTGCACTGTTTTGGAGCTGGCTTTATCACACTATGAAATGGTAATTCTATTGCCGCCTTGTCTGAACACCCACTTTGCAAACATGGGATACAGAAGGTCATGAAGGATGCACCGGACGTTTCCTTCAAATCTGGGGAAAAGGACGCATGTGGTGAATGCATTTGGAGGAGTCATTGAATTCAGACAGTCCCTGTTGCCATGCTATGATGCAATCAACCCACAAATCTGGCCTTCAAAGGATGCTGCCCCTGCTTTTAAAAATAAACATGTTTTGGTTCTTCTGAGTTATCAGAAGTAAGTTGCCTCTACATAATCACCCATACCAGGTAAGCCATCACAACCTTTTTTTACAAAATGAATGTTTTAATCCACCGTACTCAAGAATGCTCTTCTTAAGCGTACTTACTGTTTAAATAACGAAACAGCATAAAACATAACGCATGGTTTAGTCATTATCTAAGCAAGATGCTACAGATGCTAATGGAAGGATCAGAGGTAAATAAACTTGTTTGTGAGATTCATTTCATAATTCATAAATCCAGAATATTTCAGAGACATTTCAGCTAACAACTTCTAGCTATAATAGGCTGTGATGTCCAACTTTAAAACAAGACAAAAACTGCTGTTTCCATAACAACTGCTATATAAAATGTGTTTTTCTTCATTTCCTGTCTGAGGGTATGATGAAGAGTCAGGTAGAGCTCCTTTATGTCCTGATCATTATGAGTGGAGGATTTGCCCAAAGCCTGAAACCCCGCCGGAGCGTTTCCTTCTCAGGTGAGTGTTCTACCTGGACTCTATCTTGGGAGTGGGATTCTCCCTAGTAACCAAGGAAACAGAGTGAAAACCAATAGTCCATTTTTGTAAAGCAAAGTAAGTATTGACAATGTATAAAAATAACAGAAATAGTTTGCTAGTTCAGCACTGCACCACTGCCAAGTGTACTGAAGGAAGTAAAAACAGAGTGGTCAGAACAACAGGATTAAAGTCCTTTTAGGCACCGAACCAAGTTATTGTCATGTTTGATTCTAATTTTCTAACCACAGGAGAACTGGAATTAGTAAAAGGTAGTTTATTGAAAAAAAATAATTAAACGGGAGGAAGCGATTTAGGTCCAGGGAAAAGGAAGCTCATGGAGCTGAGGGAGCGCTGCGGAAGGAGCAGAAGAGATAGTGAGTTTACAGGTAGTCAGAAATATGAGCTATGGTGATATTCAGGAGAGATCTTACTTGTGATGGTGAAAGAAAAAGCTGTGTGAGGGGGGGGGTGACCGGGGACTCAGAGGGGTTTCGTTTCCATTCGGCTGGGCTCGGGTGATGACCAGGGTTCCAGAGGCCAGACAGATCGAAGTGGTTTCGTATCACTGGTGGTGGCTGTGGCAGAGGGGAAAACAGAGGAGCGGACCAGCTGCTGACTGACAGATCCTAATCCTGCTTGAGGTTCTTCGGCGAAGATGAAAGCGGGACTCGGGCAACCAGTGGGTACAGTCCACGGCGTCACGAGGAAGGAACAATCCAGAAAAAAAAACCCACAATGAGGTCTTCACGAGGTGGTTCCAAGAAATGTCTCAGGAAACAACACCTTTAACAGGAAAGCAACAAAACGATTCTAAGAGTTGGTTTACTGGCAACACTCGGGCGCAGAAGTGCAGGTAGTCCACTCCTCTTATCCCTCGGGATAATAGACGATGATTAACAGGTGTGCAGAACCGCAGGTCCGCCCAGTCGGGAGGCTGCCTCTGGCACCATCTAGTGGGTGAATGATGGCACTGCAGAAAAAAAACATAAAAAACCCCATCAACAGGAACAAACACCCCGAGATACCTAACAGTTATGCTCTAAAGAGGATGTTCCGTGGAGAAGTCAGCTCCAAACTAATATGTGCATGTGTGAGCAAGTGTGTGCATATATAAAAACAACTTTTAGATAAAAATTATTATATCACATTATGTCAATAAAAGTGATCTGATTAAAATAACATTTAAGAAGCCACAACCCAAAACATGGAAACACAATCCTATGACATGAGGCACCTGCAAACACAGTTAAATGTCCAGACTGTTGCAGAAGTATTCATACCAAATAAACTTTTCCACATTTTGTCATATTGTAAACACAAACTCCAGTGTCTTGAAAAGGATAAAAATAATACCAATGTAACATGAGCATGTTTTTTACCCCCATTACTCTGATATATCTAAATAAAATATAGGAAGATCGTCTAAATTCAGAAGTCTACCAATTAATAAATATGGGGTCCATATGAGTGTCAGTGTCAAAAACATTAACACCACAGTAACATCACACGGAAGTAAATGCTCTGATTTCTAAAGTAGCCTGAGGATAACGGTTGGATTCTTTCCCTCAGATGTTAACCTGAAGCTGTTTGAGGAGCTCGACTTTGATGGTTTGAGCTCCCTGCTGGTCAGAGAAGACATCGGTCTGCTCTTCATCGGAGCCAGAGGAAAGGTCATCATGCTGCGTTTGGATGACATCACTGAAAAGACAGGCGAGGTAGGAACTGGGCTTGGGTGGTGAAACATAATTGAAAATACACAAAAAGCAGAAGGAGATTATGGCGGAACGTTTTTGGAAATACACAGTCAATAATTAACTGTAAGAATTTGAGTTATTTAGCCTGTCATGGTGGTTGTGGAACAATGGGTCAGCTCTCCTCAGTTCACCCAACCGGTGTTTTGTGGACTTGGAGAAAGCGTTCTACTGGGTCCCTCGGGGAGCACTGTGGGGGGTTCTTCAGGAGTATGGGGTAGCAGGCCCTTTGATACGGGCTGTCAAGTCCCTTTGATACAGGCTGTCAGGGCCCTTTGATACAGGCTGTCAGGGCCCTTTGATACGGGCTGTCAGGGCCCTTTGATACGGGCTGTCGGGGCCCTTTGATACGGGCTGTCGGGGCCCTTTGATACGGGCTGTATGGGCCCTTTGATACGGGCTGTCAGGGCCCTTTGATACGGGCTGTCAGGGCCCTTTGATACGGGCTGTCAGGGCCCTTTGATACGGGCTGTCAGGGCCCTTTGATACGGGCTGTCAGGGCCCTTTGATACGGGCTGTCAGGGCCCTTTGATACAGGCTGTCAGGGCCCTTTGATACAGGCTGTAAGGGCCCTTTGATACAGGCTGTAAGGGCCCTTTGATACAGGCTGTCAGGGCCCTTTGATACAGGGTGTAAGGTCC